TGACTGTAGTGCTAAGAGGCAATTGCGATCATCAAGAGCTGCTTTCGTTTGTTTAAAACTAGTGCATTTGTACGAGGAAAAGGATAAATTCGTGAGGACATATGTTGTGGAAAACAGGAGCATAAACTGCTTGATGTTCATGTTTTCCCCACAACCAATTATGACTCTAACTGTGATTCTGCTGCGTCTGGTTCCAACCCACGTAACATATGTGACACTTTCACTTTGCTACTGCATTTATTTGCTTACATTATTTAGTCGTCATATGGGCACGTATTCCGTACTTACCAATACCACGATACGCCAATAAATCACTCCGGCAACCACGAGTGTCTTTGTCTACCACGGGCAACGAAGTACTAGGAAATAGCGCGCTCTATGAGATTCGTAAGAAGTCATATCGACCGGCCGTTACGTCGATCCAAACTACCGGTGCATTCGCAGCTGTTCTACGAGTAACTCACCGAATGAGCTTCGTACGGATCCCGTAAAGCATAACTTCGTAGCTAAACGTGGCTCCGGATACAGTCCTGTTGATGCACAGGAACACTCCTGGCTATAGTAAAAGGTGCTTTGGCGTACCGTGGTACCAGGAAGAATCGAACACGTGTCAGAGGTAAATGCTAAACCATGCTAGGAAGTAACGCAGTAGCATAGCGAAAACCTGCCACGTGTGGCGTCGATGGGAACTGGACCCGACTTCTATGTAACCCTGAGGGGCAATTCATGATCAGTAAAATACTCTTACATTAGTTCTTAAGCAGTAAAGCAACAAAAAGTAAAACGGAAGTAGTGTCATAATTAGAGTTATATATATAGTTGCTTGTGAAGAGAAAATGAACAGTGTTACCTTAGATTGCTTCTTTTGTTCGCACAATCATCAGCACTAGTGATCCATGACCTCCTTGTTGAATTAGCGGTTCACATTGCTCGACACTGAAATTTAGTGTTATTTATTATTCAAATGAGATATCCTGCTGTGTCAACTAAAGCTGTATACTGAAAGACCAGTCACACATCCGACCACTGTAGTAGATTAACAGCGATATTTAAAATCACTTTCCCACAAGACTGTCATGTCAAATCAAGAATTGCTTGAGGTATCGGTTAGGTTCTTTAGAATAAAAACGTTTAAATTCAAGTCCTGTTTTGGCACGAATACAGCTAAGATACTAACCTACTGTGATCCGCATGCTACAGGAGTCCACACTTTCGTCGGAATGCAGACTGTTCAACAGTTCAGCCACCTGAACCATCAGACAAACAGTAACTGATAGTCCTATTTGAGAACTTCTAATTACTTAGTGCCAAAATCTTGCAGACCATTCTATTGACCACCAACGTGTGCGCTATCCAAAACATTCGAATGTAAAACGCCATTGTGTTTTCAGTCTTCGGAGTACCACGCTAGCGAATCTACATGAAACCGTCAACCGCAGTCGAGTAATCATAAGATAACCTGCATTGGCTATCCTTAGCAAAATTCACCACAGTCGGTGTTGCAGTCAATGTATAAAATGGGGAGGGGACCGTTCGATTATGGTCTTGCGCGTCCAATCCTGTTTCAAACTATCAAATAACCTACAGCGATCATCGGAAGATTTTACTCACTTTTTGCATTCTCGAGCAGTAAAACTGAGATTGTGATTTGGGCCAATACAAATATGGCTATTTTGGAGTTTTTGAAATACCGATTTACAGGTGTATTGTGAAAAAATTAGTAACCACATGAAGTATTCAACGGAAATGAAGAGAGGTATTGCATTCCGCCTTATTGGATGGTGTTGCTCTGACCTCTTAGTAATATCATCTTTGGAACATCAGGCAAATCTTTTTGATCAATGTACCAATGAATGAATGTCGATGGTTCCGGTTGCGTCCTGCCCACATCGGTTACGCCTTAGTCACTTTTCAGTCTAGCGTGGTCACCCCTGCATGTTACAATTTATGAGTACCACCATATCCACCTGATCAAAACTAGGCAGTTGAGCCCCAACCGATCTGCTCGGATAAGTGGCTACAACTGAGCTGAAACCAACACAAACACGAAGAATGCACAAATGCCACATAGATCTATACCACTTATAGTACACCAACGTAGATTTTTAGCGAGAAAACGGTTAAGTGAATTTATTCTTGGACGATGTGAATACAAACCAAAAGTGGTGAATTTTGTCCACCTTTGAGCAGAATGAACAACGCACGATTGTTTTTACGTCTGCACAGAACGCCAGTGCACTCAACCTTTCTGCTTACAGACGGTGGAAACTGTGCACTTCCCAGCTAACTGCGTGCTAGTGCATGCCCCGAAGTTGAACTTATCACAGTTAACGTAAGAGAAAATGTTTTTAGCCGATCACGCTATCTCCGTCTTACCCATTAAGTTCGCTAGGTAATTTTTGAGACTTCTCATTTATTTGTCTTCTGAGTCTATTAATATCGCGACCCTGGGGTATGGAAATTCGATTACTATTCAAACGACAAACGAAAGCAAGCCCAGTGTGAGGAATGGTCCTAATGAATAGAGCAAAACAATCATATACCTACAAAGTCGAAGAGAAATGAGTAGATAAGTGACGATGAGGAGATTTGCGAAATATGGCAGACGGTGCTTAGACGTAAAAAATCATTTGACCATATGTGAACAGAACATTGGCAAAGAGAGAGTCGCATACTGGCATTACATAACATAGTGGGATGTGCGCGTTTGGCATGTTAGAAAGTTCAGGTAGCGAATTATAACAAAGAGAAAGACTGAAATGCATATAAACACTGTGATGGACAGTGAAGACGGGGATGAAACCAATCAATGCGCGAAAACGTAAACAACGGGACACCGGCCTTCAAACAAATGAATTTGGGTGTGCGGGTAATGAACAAATAAATAATATGGAAATCAAAAACAATGAGTAATTCATGAAAGATAGGTCAAATGTGATAGAGATAAACTAAGCATTTCTTGTTGATCATAATTTCATGGTAAAGTATTTTCAGGAACGGGGGGGGGGTAACGATTCAACGCAGATTGTACGCCGTGACTTCAGATACCACCTTCGGAACCGATTTGGGTTTGATCAACGCGCGTAACTTTTCGTCATCCCATACCTTAGTAGTGACAGGATTTTGTGCCTCGTGAATTCTGACCTCTTCTACCGACGGGGATATAATGTTCGAGTCCTTTTTGACTGCATCGTATTTCATCTGATCCAACGAACCCAATGGCATCAAGTCAAAGTTGTTTAGGGCTGCGGTTGAGTGCCTGAGAAGAGTTAATCGCAATAAAAATAACAAAGATCATTTAAACGTTCAGTCAAAACGTCGGCTAAGCATCGATTTGAGTAGTGTTATTTGTTTCATGCAAGCCCCGCGGTTGTCAAGTCCTAAGCTGATGGTGATTGGCCTTTTCCAAATCTAATAGATGAACTTACATGATTATACACTGGATGTGAGTAAATAAACCTTGGTAAGTGTCGCTCGAATGGCTAATTATGACCTTAGTATTTTATAAGATTAGAACAATTCACGTTTCCCATTATCGGAACATCAAGGAGTTTTAATGAGGAAGCGTAACCCCACAGTTTGCAATGGTGTTTCTTTGCCGAGTTTGAGGATACAAGAAAGCGAGGGATTAAACCAATCGAACAAGCGCCATGTCTGGAAAGCCCACATGGACACCCGAGTTTACGATGAGAACCAATGGTATGAACAGACGATTGTCACGAGAATATAATACGCTGCCACCTTGTGTGGGACGATCACGTCTGGGCAGAGACATTCGGGATAATTACAATTCAGCGCAAAAATTATCGGCTGCTGACTATTTTTTACTAATGGAAATAATATTTCACGAACCGACTTCGGGAAACAAATTCCGAAGCCTAAAGCTTAGGTGAAGAAGAGGTTAGGGATTGACGGTTTAGGAATCTTTTCGGACTCGAACCATCACTTTGCCAATCATCACGCTGCTAATGATAATAGCAATCTTCTTACTACCTTTCATTGAATGAACAAATGAGCATTTTTCACGAAGGAAGTGGGCTGCGGTGGACC